TGTGGCCCGCCAAAGCAGCTCAAACATGTCAACTTCCATGATCCTTTCTAAAATGTCTACCAAAATTTTAAATTCTCATATGTAATAAATAAGAGATATGTTCAAAGCATTTTCTTGTGACCAAACCCCTCACTATAGTAACTTAAACAATAGTTGAATCAGCAGTTATTCTTGACTTCTTTATATGGTTTCAGTCATAACGGTCCTCCAAGGAAAACGGTAACAAAAATGTGACAAACGTGACAAAAGTTAGTTTGACACCCCTGGTCCAGCGGGTTCACAAATTGTCTTACTTTGCTCTGTTTGGTAAGTGCGAGGGCCTTCACCACGTCAAACAGGTGAGCGTCCTTGGGGGAGGCATCGGTGAACACAAAGATCTCTGAGAGTGGTGGGCTGTGAGTGAGGGCCAACTAGAAACGCGCAACAATTAGTACACACACACACACACACACACACACACACACACACACACACACACACACACACACACACGCGCGCGCACGCGCACAGACACGCACACATGCACACCTGAATGGCTGTTAAGCACATCTCTGGTTCATCTCCTCCTCCAAGGGCCATCAAGTTCTCCATGTGCTCCATAAACTGGTTCGGGTCATCAGTCTCATACACCGGACCGACTTCTGCACACAGCAGTGACATGAATCTATGAATAGTTTGTTACCTTCATTACAGTTACTGTCATACTGGTTGTCTTCAGTAAATAGTTTTACAGTAGTATCCCACTAGATGGTGCTGTTGTTCGCCTGTGGAGCCAAGGCAATTTAGAAAACTCTTAAGGTCTTGGGGCCCGGCCCGGTCGTACAGAAGGACTAAATAAGTTACATTTCTTCAGTTTTATTCATTTTGGAATCTCTAATTGTGTTGTGGTCAAAAATGAAGTACTCCGTCTGGTTTTATGGATGAATCCTGTTGACAAACAAACAGCAGCCACAAAAACATAGCCTCTGTTGAGGACAGATGTAATAAATAATTGGTTTCCAGTGACATGAATAAGGATAAGAATATAGTAGAACTTTAAAAGTTGAACACAATCCTTTCTGTGACTCTAATTGACTTCCCCAATTTTGTCGAATTTTAAAACAAATTTCCCTTTGGATATGATGTCCTCTACATAATTATGATTTGCCACTTTACCTATATTCACATGTGTTTTTAAGGAGCTATTTTTTTATGATTCCCTTTTTATTGGTAAGGCCAAAGGGCAGACGGATAACATTTTTACATAATTTTGTTTGAATTTTTAAACCACTTTTGGGCCACATGAAAAGAAAGGTACAAAACAACTATGGGCATTATCCTTGCGGTGCTTCCTCACCGGGGTCATGGAAGGGTACCAGCAAGAAGCTTCCAGGTCGGCCAGAAAGGTCTGCTCGGTTCTGAATGATGGAGTAAGCCCGCATTCGAGCCGCTGTGATTTCCTCAAACATGCTCCCTGTGGTGTCAATGACAAAAACCAGAGCGGGTGCCTGCTTCACGCTAAAAAGCCTGTGGAGGTTGTAGGAAGCTTGATTAAAAAAATAAAATAAAATCAAGAAGGATTTCATGGACTTTATTTAGCTTAAGAGACAAGAGATTTTTTTTCCTCTCACATTGACTTTTTAGTTTTTGATCAAAATCAACATTCAAAACCTTTGCAGTAAACAGATGAAAGTACCTGTATATTCAAGCGCAGTTGCGAAATATTTATTACTAGTTCTCACCATTGATTATTTACCCGGCATGGTTTTGTATTATATTTCTGTATTCCCACCTGAGAAAGGTCTTGTGCCCCACTGTGTCCCTGAGATCTCTCAGTACAGTCAGAGTATCTTCGGAGGCCAGCTTGGCTGCTTCCGCGTGGAGGTAATGATGAGGGGAGAAGAGAGGTGATGTGCTGTCTTTGTTAATGCCCCCTTTGGCCCCCATAGTGCGGCTACTGTCCAGCATACCTCCGTGACTGCATTTGCCTGACCAACAAGTTGCATGTTTGTGTTTCTCCTAAAAAAAACAACCTTTTTCATACCCATACTAATCAAGGCGTGCGGGCTCATCACGTAGTCTTTGGGGACTACCTGGTACCCGCAGGCACCACATTGGTAACCCCTCCAAGATAATCTAATTTGTAACAGAGCAACATTGTTGTTGTTCAGATGGTTAAAGGAGGTGAAAATCCATGTTTAGTACTTTTTGGGTACCAAAAAAATATATATCTGTTTTACTTTTACTTGCATACCTTTAGGTTTTGGAGGGAATGTGCTGAAGTAGCCAGTTGTGAGCAGCTGTGAGTCCCTCTGTGTACTTGTCAATCTTGGAAGGAGGTTATTTCGACAGGTGGCGCTAAAGCACTCCATGCAGGTGGGTGTGTCACCTGTGGAGAAGACACAAAAGGACCAACAAGGGATTGTTTTCCTATGCTTGCCACCAGTCACTTTTCATGCATGCAGTTCTCTGAGGGGCTTTGAATGTACAAGGAAATGATGAAACTGTACAAATGCTCATTGTTATGAAAGTTTTTCTGACTTTTTTTACACAATTGTTTGGATTGCAAACACTCGGGCCAGTCCGGTGGGCCAGTGGTTAGAGCATCGATCTCAGAGTGGAGAGGCCGTGCGTTCGATCCCAGCTGCGGCCTTCCTGTGTGGAGGTGTGCTTAACCCACTGCAACATTATGTACAGTCTGAGCATTGAGACTCAACTTAAAATAATGATGAAATTAAAGTGTATTGCACATATGTAAAACTCAATTAAAAATTTGACCTAAATAAATATTTCAAAACAAACACTTCTTAATATGACATGCAATTGAAATTAAAAATTAAATATAACTGAACCGTACACAGGTAGCGATTCTTTGGTGAATCCCGCAAATTCACTTTGAGAATCACTGTCAGTCGCAAGGTCACCAAAGTGTTACCCACGGGGCCACATGAGTTGCCCACGGGTCTGTTCTAAAAATATTAACCCACTGCAACATTATGTACAGTCTGAGCATTAAGATTCCACTTAAACAATTAAATTAAAATGTATTGCACATATGTAAAACTCTTAAACTATTAAAAAAACTTGACCTAAATATATATTTAAAAACAAACACTTCTTAAAGATGACATGCAATTGAAATTAAAAGTTAAATATAACTGAACTGTACACATTCTTTGGTGAATCCCGCAAATTCACTTTGAGAATTACTGTCAGTCGCAGGGTCACCAAAGTGTTGCCCACGGGACCGCATGAGTTGCCCACAGGTCTGTTGTAAAAATTGCTCACCAGTGATGGGACATTCTTTTAGGAAAGTAGAAGTGATCATTTGAAAATGTAAACACTAGTATATCTTTCGTGAAATAAAGTGTAGCATATGATATTTATCGCTTTCCTAATCATCAACGTGATCAGTGTTTTCACATGAATTCATGTCATTCATTATTTATAATGACATGCAGTTAATTTCACAAGTGAGTATCAAACTGGTATCTGAGAAGCATTTCTCAGTTTCAAAAAGTTTGGTGACTCCTGGTCAAGTTGCATTGTATGTGACGATTCTCCTCTGTGTACCTGAGGGATCGATGAGGATGCAATTGCTCAATAGACCAGTAATGTGTACGGTGACATCATTAACGGCGCTGTCGACCCTGAAAGAGTGCGAGGACATCTGCTCTTGGTCTGTCTCAACATGGAGGAGAGTCACCTGGTGAGGAAGAAATTGAAGTCACTTTTAAAAGGGACATGGGAATGTGTTTGCTCCTTTCTGGTTCATGTAACATTCACACTTTAATGGACTTTACCTTTCCAGTTGATTTGACCCCTTTCCAGATGCAGAAATAACAAATGACCCACATTGTCAGGAGGCACAGAAGCACCTCCCACCTGATGTTGCCAATCTCCTCAATACCACCGGAGATATTCAACACTCGATGTCTACACAGGGCAAAAAGAAACATCCTGTATTTTATTTTATGTTGAATATGCTATTTTAGTATATTATCATTCTTACTCCCAGAATTCCATAGCTGCCGAGTTTCCTTTGGTGTGGTTGGTGAGGTTCCTTGTTGTAACAATGACACAATCAGCTGAAAGAATGACCGATAGTCACACTAAATCACATGCAAGTATATACACTATATACGGTATGTGCAATACATGCAATAATATTATACACATAAGGTCATTGATAGTGATTTGTCTTGGATTCAGGCAGTTTGGGTTCCAGTCCGACTCAGTGACAGCATGACTGTGAAAGTTAATGTTTGTATGTCTTTCTTTATGTCCCCTCTGACTGACTGGCGACCAGTCTGGGGTGTAATCTGCCTTTTGATGGAAGCCTGCTGCGATAGGATTCAGCGTCCAGTGACCCTATACATGTTAAGCAGTACTGGTGTAGAAAATAAATTAAAAGATGATACATACAGCATACATTGGAAACTATTTCCACTTAGGGGTGCATTGACTTTTGTTGCAAGCAGTTGAGATATTAATGGCTGTGTGTGGAGTTGACTTATTTTGAGGGAACAACTAAATGACACTGTTATACAAGCTGTACACTGACGACATTGTAGCAAAATGTCATTTCTTCGGCGTCACCCCATGAAAAGCTCCAATCAATAATGCCGCCTATGTTGTGTGCTAGACCTCACCTGTGTTCCAGTAGTTGTCGCAGGTGCTCCAGGGCAGTGGAGAGATGAAGGAGAACGCAAGGTAGAAAAGAGCCCAGGCCAGGATAATAGTGTATGACATGCAGCCGTATATCTGGGTCAGCAGCCCCCCATAGCCGATACCTGACGTGCATGACACATTTGAGGTTCAAGGACTCTTTTTTTTTTTTTTTTTTAGCCTCCATAAGGAGCCATTTTTCCTGGAGCAAAGTATCAAAACTGAATGACAACAGATGACAAAATGATGAATCAATATTTTATGATAGCCATGAGTCTATTTAGTAACTTCCCTTTTTTGTTTTGATTTCAAGAGCACATACTGTGAATGTTTGACTTACAACCACGGCAAAGCATTTGTTACTATATGTGGGTTATAGTTGGTGGCGATTGATTATTTCCCGAAGTGTTTGGATCTTGATGAAACATTCAACTGTCCTAACCGATGAAAAAAGGTACTGATGGGTCCTTCCTGCTATGCGTTTCTGAATGGCAGGCTAGCATACGACACACCTTCAGCCACTGGACAAAGCTTCTTCCAGCAAGTGATACCACCCTCCTGAGTGTGCTGGCCCACAAAGGTCTCCAAAAGGAAGAGCGGTACACCGCACGTGAATGCAAACACCAGGTACGGCACCAGGAATGCACCTGAATGTTACACACACTTTTGTGATATGCACAACTTCTGTAAAAAGCACTGATCGCCACATTTGCTTACCACCGCCATTTTTGTAGCACAAGTACGGAAACCTCCACACGTTGCCCAGGCCCACAATGTTCCCGGCAACGGCCAGAAGAAACTCTACCTTACTCCCCCAGTGTCCTCTCTCGTCAACTGCATCTTGGCCAAGCTTTAAGACACGTTTTTTGTTCCACATTCCCTAAGCGTGTGACCTGAATCCTACCTTCCGTTTAGCTACTCACTCACACTGTCTGTCCAGTTGTACTTAATTCCATGAGACACTTAATGAGCAACCAAGCAAGCAGTTAATCAGTTTTGAGTATCAGTGTAAATTATTTCCAGCACATGCAATTCATTGCCAAATTTCTCAGTACAGTGTATTGGGAATTCACAAAGATGATACTTGTTAATGGGAGGCCTGACACGGGAAGGCAAGGAGGCATTTTTGTAGCCTGTTAAGTGCAAAAAAACTGATTTTCAATCCCACTTATCATGAACAAGGTCGCGGGGGTTGCTGGAGCCTATCCCAGCTGACTTCAGGTGGAAGGCAGACTACACCCTGAACTGGTTACCAGTCAGCCGCAGGGCACATATAGAGACAAACAAACACTGTTGACGTCACCAGGTCCATGCATCTTGGACCTAAAACGGGCATTATTAAAGCCAAGGTAAACTGTCATAAAGCAAGCCTAACGCCAAGACTGGATATTTTTTTTTTTTTTACATTGAGGCGGAAAGTACAGACGTCATTTAAGACAGGAACTCTTACATAAGTGCCAATGTTCAGCCAATTACAGGGTCCTTTTAAATTACAAAGCATCACCTATGCACTCCAGGTCGAAGACGACAAAAGTACTAAAAGAATAAATTCAGTTTATTCAGTGCATTTTCAATAACAGCATTCTATTTTCTTCATTCCTGCTGTAATATGCTAAAAGGAACAGCAATTTTTGACCTGCATGATGTTAGGAAAACAGCTCAAAGCAGAGCCGAAGCAACATTAAGAAAGAGAAGCCAGTGGGCGTATTTAAATTACAAAGCATCACCTATGCACTCCAGGTCGAAGACGACAAAAGTACTAAAAGAATAAATTCAGTTTATTCAGTGCATTTTCAATAACAGCATTCTATTTTCTTCATTCCTGCTGTAATATGCTAAAAGGAACAGCAATTTTTGACCTGCATGATGTTAGGAAAACAGCTCAAAGCAGAGCCGAAGCAACATTAAGAAAGAGAAGCCAGTGGGCGTAATAGGCCCACCTCCACTATGTTCTGTCCTTGTGTCACTCAGCTGCCTCTGCTGACTAGATGCAAGATGGCAGCGCTTCATGTTTCCAGCAGTGTCCCACACCAGCAGCTCAGCCTGGACCGAGCAACAGCTGGAAGTATAGTTCACCCACAGGGGCTCCGATGAGCCCAGCTCCCACCTGGACACGTTCAAAGGGGCTTCTCGCTCCACTAATGTGACCTTGTGCTGGACACGTTGGTCAGGATGAGCCTCACCCAGTTTACCCCCTGTGACCGGTGGGAATAAAGTTAAAGTCCCTTGTCCCTTGTGTAGTTGGAGAGCAGCCAGTCCGGAAAGGCCGCTGTCCGACACAGCCAGTGACATGCTCCAGGTGGACTCATTGCAAGCTGGAGAACAGGAGGACTGCAGTCGAGTGGCCGAGCATGATGGAGGAGATGTGTCTGAGTCCTGAAAGGGAGATGAGATCCAACACATCGGGGGTGGTCTAAAAAACATCCTCGGGGCCATTTGAAGCATTTATGCCTTTATCACATCTCCAGTTGGTGCCATATGCTGCCGCTCGCCCCTTAATCCTGGTTCACACAGCCGCATAATTAGGGACAGTGTAAAACGCTTAATGTAAAAAGGTGTAATGTGGCTCCATGTCAGAAAATTATGACCAATCATCAAAATTCACATGCACACTCTAATTTTGCCCACTTCAACCTCTGAAAATATCAAAATAATCATCATTTTGGATTTTATGGGCATTATTTCCTTTCTTCACTGCAGAGAAAAAGCTTAACGTGGCATAATGTTAGAAAACTACAACCGATGGCACCAAAATTCATGTGTACATCTCCACCTACGCTGTACATCAATGTCTGAAATTATCAACATGTTCGCATCCAACAGATTAGATAATACTCACAGGTGGAACCACTGTCAAGTAGGCCACCGCGTAGTTTGTGTCTGCAGAGTCGAGAGCGTACACTGAGAGTGTCAGCGTAACTGTCGCTCCGGCCTGAGCTGAGGCAGGTGTGTGAAGGCCCACCTGACTGTGGAAAGGTTTGTCGCTAGCAACATGGAACCTGATGGGAAGAATGACAAACTGCTTTGAAGTCAGCTATAATACACCCATCCATTTTCTCATTCGCTTATCCTCGCAAGAGAGGATAAGAGACCGTATCCAACTAAAAATATTTCTTCACCATGCTGATACAGTATGTATCATGCAGTTTTTAATTTACCAAACACACAGTTTTGTTGATCAAAGTGATCATTTTTGTCACTTTATAGGCTCCAGCAGCCCCCCGCGACCCTTGTGAGGATAAAGCGGATCGGGAAATGGATGGATAGTTAATGATATTTATTTGTGTGAAGACACTGATCATGTTCATAATTTATCACAATAATTTGGAAAACGCGAAATACAGAACATATTATTTCTGTAGATCTCCGCCAATGTTTTCAAATGATATCTTCTGCAACATTCCGAGAAAATCACAATGTCCCATCACTGGTGAGCTATTTTTAGAACAGGCCAGCGGGTTCTTATGCTGTCCCGGGGGAGGGGGGGCTACCTGCTGTCTTCGTAAACCAAGATGGCGAGCTGTGCCTTCGGCCCCTGGTCAAGAGGGGTTACCTGTGAGGTCCTTTCGTGTGGAGATATCCAGAATCATCCTCAGCTGTCAGACTGAAGAGTCTGTCCGGGCCGTGGTTCAGGATGTTGAAATCTACAGTGGTGCTGTGACCAGGTACCAGAGCGGGTGTGGAAAGGACCTAAAGAGAGAGAAAAAGGAGACAGCATAACAAGTTTCAAAGGTCCCTTGCCACTCCTATGAATAATTTAAAAATGGAAATAGCCGATGCTCTGGTTATTTGTACGCCACATCACAGCGTCTTGTGGCAGCATCGTGGCTCCTTACTTGCCTGTATCTGAACACGAGTGGGCTGCACCATTTCCGTGGCGACCCTTTCCAGCTTGTTTCCCCCGCCGTCTCGGCCCGTGAGGCGGACACAAAAGGGAGCTCCCGGAATTGATTTCACCCAGAC